CCACCCCGACCTCACACCCACCCCCACACCCACCCACCCCCACACCCACACCCACACCCACCCACACCCCACCAAACTCAAAGTCAAGCCCAAATTCAAATGCAAGTTTAAATTAATCCAAAATTTTGTATAGCGGATCCCAAAGTCTCGGATGTGTTGCTTCCTAAGTTTTCCAGATCGGATAGTGCCAATAATTGCCTACTGCACAATATTATCTTAGTATTCCTTCACGAACATCAGCATTTCCGTTTTTGGATGAATTTTGCAAGCACAGATAATTCAATCAATCAATATTTGAGGCTTGGAAAATCATTTAAAAATATTGATTCAATCTTATTCGATTAGTCATGACAAAATAAATTATTTAGCGTCAATCTCTTCAACACTCAGTTCAATAGATATAATGTTTGATCATGTTCAGTGTCATTAATGTGATCCTCAATCAATCCTCTACAAAAAACACAATTATGTCCTTCATTGCGTACTTGCAACTCATCCCAGCAATATTGGCATACGACTTTGTGACCGCATGGTCGGAACCTCACTTGACGCTCATGCTCCAAGCACACCACACACTCTTTGTCATTGGCCAAAATATTAGCTGTGGAATTCTTTCGTATCATCCGAAGCCGATCCAACACCGTTTGTGCTGAAGGACGAGCGCTTGGCTTGTCTTGTGCACAAGCTTCAATTAGTTTAGCAATGGCAGCGAAACCAGTTACGGAACGAACATTGTGTTGTTGTAATAAATGTTGAACCTCTTCAAATCTTTGAGGGTGAATACGTTGATAGTATGGCTTTGGGTGCATTTCATAAAGTAGTAATCCAAATGAATATATATCCGCTGCTGCGCCGTTATACGTAAATACCATTCCAGACTCATTGTTTAGTGCTGAAATCATTTCTGGTGGTAATGGCATTGTACCGACAATCGTGTCGTTGAATGTTCCTTCTCTCGCTGTTCCAAAATCAGTTAGATAGCATACATAATTCTCATCTAGTAAAATATTGCTGGCTTTGATGTCACGATGAACTATTTCATTCTGATGTAAGGCAACCAACGTTTCTGCTATATTTATGGCAAAATTCAGTACACTATCAAGAGTAATAGTTTGAATATTTTTGTATAAATAATCACGCAAAGAACGAGAGTAGCGCGGTAATATAATCCACAGAACATGCTCACCATTTTCAAGCTCATGTTCATATAGATACATTAGTGGAACTACGTTTCGAATCTTCAGTGATGAGATTACACGGTGGTAGTGAGCATCAAGATAAGCCATGTATGGATGAGCAGACAATGGGCGAATGAGCTTTTTTACGACCAAATTTTTTTCGTCACCCCATTCAGCTGAATGAATACTAAAGAATGCTCCTTCTCCGAGTGTCGTTTGGGGTCGTTCAGAAATCACTTAATGAATCAGAGGAGAGAGCGCGGTTCCGAAAGTATCATGTTTGATCGCCTGATGGAGGGAAATCAACTCGATTAATAATGTGACCGCCGTATTTGAATAGCACTAAACAAATTCTGAATTTATACCAGGGATTAATATTAAAGGTTTGAGACATGCTGATTATGGCACTGATAAAAGAATGATAATATATACATAATACTAACGAAAATTAAAAAAAACACTAAATTCGCAATATTGTGTCTGATGAAAAGTGCTTCCTCATAGATTATCAAATTATGCGTTTTTTCAGATGCATTCTTGAGCTGTAATAATACATTGCGAAAAGAAGTGAGAAATTTAAAATGTTTTGTTACAGTATATCTATCTTACTTCTTCTTAGGATTCGTATAAATTACTGAAGACTGAATGAAAATAAATTAGAAAAACAATGAACTGATGCAGTAAGAAAATCTTAAAATATTCTATGGAAGAAAAAAATTAATTTGGCAAAGAATGCATTATTGATTTGAAAGCAATCTAATGTTAATTTATCCACTAATTTTAATGATATTATTCTTGATGAATGTATATTTTCTACAACAATAACTAATTCTATTATTACAAATCATGCTGATAATAATCTGACTATGAAAAAATCACAGAAAATCATTGGTGTATCCTCGTTCATGTGACGTTGCACAACAGCGAACATTTCATCATTTCAATGAGATCAATGGATGGGTGGCGTCATTCATTCAACTAAAACAAACAGGTTTATTAACACTTAAACATGAAAAACACTTGAACATGAAAAACAGTTGAATATATTGCTCAAACGAAATAATTAAAAACAAATAATATCAAACGTCTTTAAAACCGTCTCCATACTCAAAAGTATTTGAGAAATAAACCAAAGAAAAAATGATAAACGATTTCAGAAACACATCCTAATGTTAGTTGTATATTAAAGAAAGTATTTGACCATTTGTTGTCGGTTTTGGCGGTGAAGAATTTGATTGTTGAAATAAATAAAAATAAATCATAGAAATGCACAGAAATACTGGAAATAACCAATCAGAATAAGAGTGTGGACGTGGGTGTGGATGCTGATGAGTAGAACCACAGGACCCATACTCACACGCATACTCACACCCACACCCACACCCATACTCACACCCACACCCACACCCACACCCACCCCCACACCCACACCCACACCCACCCACCCGCACGCCACCGACCCCACAAGGCACACCCCAACGCGC